TGCGCAAATGTCTGTTGGAAACACCGACAGATAGAAATGCCACGCCCGGAATGGTTCTTGAAATTGGAGATCAGATGCCGATTCCTGAATTGGGAGATGCCTCCTGGGTGGTTCATGTTGGTGGTTCATGTTGGCTGCCTGTTTTGCGATCAAATACACGGGGGATGAAACCCACTTTGAGACAAACCCCTCTCCCTCCTCTCTGCCTTTCTTCACTGCAGTCCGTCGTTTCTATCGGGAACCTTCCCTTCCCGCGCGCTCACACAAAACGCCCCGTGGTTGTGTGTGGCAAGCATCCGGCTCTTCAGCGCATCGGAACTGGCAAGCAAAGAGCCTAACAATACGAATCCCTAACACCAATTGGGGAATGGAACGTCCAAATGATACACAACGCCACATTGGGTATTCCAAAACACTGGGACTGCAATGGAAAACCAAGTGTGGTGGTCTTTCCCCTGCCCCTACAACTGCGTAAAAGCCCGCTGCATGGCTTGCTTAAGGAAAAAACCCACTCAATTTGGCGAGTTTCGAAGAAAAAACACTGCTTGCAAGGGAAAACCCATTCAATTTGGTTGGTTTCGAGCAAAAAACACATGTTTGGTTGGTCAAGGGGAAACCAACAGGAAGCCTCCCATCACACCCCCCACCCCCGTTGCGAGATCGTCCGATCACTCGGGTGGGTTCGCCGGGCGGCTCGTTGACCTCCCATCGCTGCTTGGTGGCGGGGTCAAAGAAGCCGCACTCCTGGAGCAAGACTCAGGGCTCTCTGGCAAAAATTCAATATTATAGGGGCCAAGAAGTAATGAAGAAAAACACGTTGAATGACCTTTGCTCCATTCGAAAATCCGTTGAAAGAAATGACGAGGAGACAAAGTCTAAGATCTACAGAGCATAGTTAACATTCTCTTGGATGGAACTCCCAAAGGATCGCGGGGATGCTCTTCAGAAAAGGAGAAAAGGGGCAAACAATTTGGGAAAACAGGAGAGACCGATGGTGCAGACGGTCTCTAGAGAAAGGGGAATCAATAGCCTGGAAAGCCGCACGGGACATAGCTGGTCCAAACCTGGTAATTGATATGATATTCAATTTGGCCAAAGACCAACCATACCCTGAGCGGATTTTGGCTTACTTTTGGCTTCCCTTTCAACCAACTCCAAAACTCTAAGGAGGGTAATGTTGACCCAGGATTAATAAACCCGTCCCATTATTAGGGGGGGCGTTCCCTCCAAAAGTGGTCCGAATCCCCACTAAAAGGGGACACCCCCCACTGCAAATCAACCAGGGATTCTGCTTAGATCCGGGGTTAACATTACAATCAAAGATGCACACTCCAAGGAGGGTACAATCAAAGATGTACCCGGAGTTTTTTTGGTTTTTTGTGATTCTTTGATTCGTCCATTTTTCGTCCATTTTCATTGATTCTTGTCAATGGTACAATCAAAGATGCACCAAGACTCCCCCTGGCCTCCGCGGAACCCCGGGAGTCGCTCCTCCGCTTGCAGCACCGCGCCCTCCTCGCAAGAAGCAGCGCCGATGCCTGGGTGCCGATCTAAGCCCGCTCTGGTCCCCTTAGCTGAGAGCCCCGTGTGGCGCAAAGAGAAAATGTCCAAACGGCTGTGGTCAAAGCCGTTTTGGTTGATCCCATTTTGGTTGGGATTGGTGAATTCACCACCCATGTTTTAGGACCTATTTTAGTGGGGATTGAATCGGATGTTCACTGGAACGGGCCTTTGACCCAGGGCCAAATGGAAGCCAACCCCAGGGTGAAAGTAGATTGCACAATTGGAAGCAAGGGAGATGACTCAACCGCAGGGAACTGTGCTATCTAATTTCACCCAACGGTAAGGGAAACCAAAGGCAAACGCATGTCGTTTAAGCCAGAGGATATCCCAAACACGGGTTCTTAGAGTATCTGAGCATTGCCTCAAAATTTGGGCAACACGTCGGTCCCCCCAAAAAAAAACTGTGGTTTTCCTGTTGGTTTCCCTACCTGCAAAAAAGACACACACACACACACGTTGGTCACGGTTGGAAAGGGAATCAAGGGACCTCAAAGGGCCGGTTTTAGAGCTTAAGCATAACCACCGAACTCATGAATCAACCTCGTGGTTCCCCTTTTCCGAGGTCCACTTGTTGGACAACCTCTTGGACTCTTCTTGGGAGACAAATAAAGGGGTCGGTTTAATCCTTTATATAATTTTATATGTAACCATCCTTGAGGAATCGACTGGACACATTGCAAAGATCAGCCCTTTCAGCTCTCAAACCTACGGTGGATGAAGCGGAATCCTGCACCAGTTGGTGGATGGTTTGTCCCAGCGAAGGAGTTCATCCGCTGCAACTGGTGCAGGATTTCGTGCATCCACAGTATGTCAACCTAGGCTGTTGCATGCGTCTGTGAGGCCACTACCAGGTTGGGCTGGTGTCATCGGTTGAAACTTGAAACACGGCAAGAAATCACGGTTGAAGCATCACCTCATACGGCTGTTTATTGTGGGCCATATCGGCCATGGCAACTGCCTGGCGCACCAGGACAGTCCTGGTCTTCCCAGCAGGTCCTTTCAGATTCCATGCTTGCCTTTGGGGATATGTTGCTCGTAGCCAGGGCTCCCTTCAAAGCTCCTCTCCGTTGCTCGCCAGGGGCCATTGCCCTGAAGCATGCCACCAAACTCGTGCAACCCCGCGTGCTTGACTTGCTGGTGCTCAGTAGGCAATGAGGGAATGACATCTATAAACCATCCCCTATGTTTTCCTTTAAAAGAAGCCCCAGGTTCATTCCCTCATTGCCTGCCTATCGCACCAGCAAGTTGATGTCCCTTTCAATCATCCACCTTTCAGGCCGCTTCCTCCCTCGCCCGTGGAATCTCTGGGGCCCCTGCACCGGCCAGTGAGCTCCTGACGGATGAAACCTGTCCTGGCGCTCGGCTTCACCACGCGATTCGAGCCAAGGCAACAGGGCTGAACCTATGAGATAAATGGTCTGAAAATATGCGCCCGGAAAATCAAACATGGTCGTGATTTCCTGGGTTTGGGAAATCAGAAGCAGCATCCCAATGGGAGGGGTAAACCTATGATAGGACTTGGGGTTAGATCCTGCCCCAGAATTTGGCTTTGACCGTTGCGGTTGATCCAAAGCTTCGCCCACTGTTCATGCAGCTGGGATGCGTGCACATCGCACTTCATTGGGGGGGGGCTAGCTCAAAACATAGGGGTAGCCCAAAAAGGGTGGTTTTCCTTAAGCGAGTTCCCTTCAACCCAAGGCAAGCATGGGTACCCCTCAAAAGACGCAAAAAAAGTGTGTTTTTTTGTCGCTCGGTCCTGGGCGTCACGGTCTGCAGCGGGAAGCCGGTGGTGGTGGAGGTGGTCGGGTCGGTGTTCGTGGTGGTGTGCGTGGTCTGCGTGGAAGTCACCGACTCGCACCAGACCTCGCAAGGAGATTCCAGGACTCTTCATTTTTCGAGCCGCCGAGAACATCCAAGGGAACATTCACATGGGGTCTGACTCTGACTTCTATTTTTCTAGCCGCCCACGGGAACATAAAACCATGAATGGAATTCTAGGGGTCACAATTCCACTGTTGAGAGGGTTGTGCTTCCCCACAAGTCCCTCGTTCGTGTGAAGGAATTTAGAGCTCGTCCCCTGTGTCCCCCCCAAATGGACCATAGACGGTCCTTGATTCTTCTCACCCTCTCTTCACATTCCATCCATTCAGGCCTTGTTGTTCAATCCACCCGCGTTTCACAACCTCCCATCCAAAACAGAGTCCATTAGCGCTCCCATGAGTTCTGATACAGCATGGTACAGCCCCTCCCTAGGCTTGATTGGTAGCACCATACAAGTTTAGCGTACAAGCGGTTCAAATAGTCACGGTCACCAAAAACAAGAAAGCTCAGGTGATATCCCCAACAGCATGCAACGCTCTTTTTCGACCCTCGCGGAACCCTGCTGAACCTTACCGCAGAGCCGCCCTGACCGCCCCAGAGCCCTCGCAGAACTCTGCAGGAAACCCTCTCGCTGCGGAACCCCCAGACAACCTCGGCACCTCCACAATCTCCAAAGCCTGTTACTCCAGAATCTTGCTCGGGCCTCACACCAGAGCCCCAAACCTGCTCGAACCTGACACCGGAACCTGCACAACCTTTCTTGACCTTCCACACCCTGAACCGTCAGAACTGAACCTTACACCTGGCCTCCACCAGACCACCCGGAACCTGTGGAACCCTGTTGGGGAACATTGGAAAACGTGTTTTTGTCCACAGGTTTGTCGGAAAATTAGAGCTCGTCGCACCATGATCCTCCCAAACGGACCATAGAACTTGAACAAACCTCAAATGGCTCAGATAGCAATGCCCCACAAAAAAAAAGTGATGGCTGGGTTTTTGTTGTTTGATCAGCAAGCTTGCCTTTTTACGGACTCATGAACAAACGACCGGGGGAGCTTGCGAGCTCTGATGCCTCACTTTTTGCACATGTGAAGGCTTGACAGAAAAGTAACCCCTTTGCACCCAGGGGCCCCCGATCCGAGGCGAAAAAGCCATGTCTCACGGCGAACAGCTGGGCCTCAAGCACAAGCCTTCCGCTGCAACTCCATTATCTTGGCTGTGGGTCAAAAATAGGGTAACCCCAAAATGGGTTGCCTTGGTAAATGGAAACATGGACCAAACCCGCGGTCCCCGAGTGGTTCAATTTTGACCCACACCCAACTCCTCAACATGACTCGCTGAGATCCTAAACAAAACCATCCCCAAAGCCCACGTCTCCATCAAAAATGCGCGGGAAAGGACTCCGTTCTTCCGTCTGTGCGCGCCTGCCTGGGAAACAAAGGCTGACCCGTGAAACACTTCTAGCTCTTGTTGGGACAAAGCTTTCCAGGAACCTTCATCTACCGATTGGGATTGCGACCCATTTGTCCGTATACCTACCCCTACCCATGTGATCCTTTTCAGTTTCTCAACAACTTTCCCGTTCAGTTGTTCTTTAGTTTCCTTTTCGTCCCCCTCTAAAACAGCAAGCGATCCCGACTTAGGCTGACCTGGTGCGAGTCTCGCGAAAGGGACCTCCCGACAAACTTGTCGGATCGCTCGCTCGCTCGAGCGAGCCCTTGAGCGCCTTGGCATCCTCTGAGTGCCAGCAATTGTTAATGCCCCAGCCAGCGTTGCCACAAAGGCTCAAGTGCGTCTCGTCGCCTGCGTCCATTCCACCCAACGCAGGTGGCCGATTCTGCGCAGTTGGAGAAAAGGCCGGGCAGTAGGAGAAAAGGCGACTTGGGAAGAGGGGGCCAACGTAAAAGCGAGCGTTTGGAAAAATTGGAAGGGACGGTGTTCAAAGGAGACCAACATGAAGCATAGGCTTCAGGAACCTCTGAGAGTCAAGACTAGGAAGCCGATTGAAGTCCGTTGGGCACCCAAAAGCCCATCTCCGTGTCGTCCCCTTTTTGGGGGTCCAACTGGATTTTGGAAGACCAAATCTGAGTCGCAAAAGGGATCCTGGGATCCACCTTGAGAGACGTCCATTCCAATCCGTGAGTGCACCAAGGGAAGAATCTGTGGACCAACCACTTTCAGGCGGTTTCCTATGAAATGCATGGCCCAGAGTGGGCAAACACCAAGACTGGTCAGCTCCCTGAGAGCTGACCTGCCGCGTTCACAGCACTGCCAGGGAGATTGGCCGACAGAAAACAACCAACGATTGCTATCCCCCTGTCTTGTTCCCCATGTCCTCCAGTAGAGAGCTTAGAATAAGGGTACCAATCTAGGTGCCCCTTAGATTTGTTTTCTTCTTTTTTTCGGTAGTCTATTGTAGTAGGGGAACCCTCCCCAAGAAAGGGTAAAAGGGGCACTACTGGGGGACCTAGTTCCTTCAGGGTGCTAACCTACTCAGCCAAAAACCAGCCACTGAACATATTTAAGTCTTTTCAGGGTGGTACCCCCCCCATTGAAGTAGAAACACGGCAGAGCGGATTAGTTTCCCTTGCCTTCCATTCCACTTGCCATGTCTCCCTTTGGGGTTTTGCAAAAGTCCCACTAATTCCTTCCTCCCCAAATATCAAATGACCCTAAACACACCCAAAGGAGGTTCTTCAGCAAACCATACTGTGTCAAATCGTTGGGGAGTCCCTATTCCCAACCCCAACGCTTGTCAAATGGGTGTGGGTGAAAAAGATGTACCTAAGATGGAACCCTGCTAAATGGAAACAAGGGCTACTGTAAACCCTGCGGTTTTGTGGTGGTTGAATTTTGACCCACACCCAACTGACGAAATGACACCCCCCCAAAAAAAAAAGACTGCCCTTGGGGCTTCCCCTGCTCGTTTCTTTTGTTTTTGGTTCCTTTTTTTTTTTCGCGTCCCTCCGGTTCGGCCTTGGCAGTCGATGTCGTCGATCCAAATCGTCTGGTCCTCCGATCCAGGCATGCCCGCCAGGGCCGAGCTGTCGAAGCGGCCCCAGGCGCCTCGCCGATTTTTCAGATCGGCGTCTGAGGGGCGGTGGTTGGAATGGTGGGGGGGTTGGTTGGAGGGGGTGGTTGGGGGGGGGGGGGTTGGGGGAGAGGGGGGTCTCAAGAGTTCTCCCGTTGGGGGTGGGGGAGCCCCAAGAGCAACCACAAAGTTTGGGTAGCTCAGGTGTTTGCCTGGACTTCTAGAGGTTGTGTTGGAAGTGGAACTATCCAACAGTCATTCTCAAGTTGCTACAAACAGTATCTGACAAGTTGAGTGGGGTATGCAAGGCGTGTCCCGGATGAGAGGGTTTCAACCCCAAACCACTGCCCCCCCAAAAAGAACCATAGGAGCAAACCTTTGAGGGGTCGCCAGCTCAAAGGCACGACCCCAAATCTTATTATACCACTAGTTTGAGGATAGAATAAGTTGGTACCCGATTTTCTTCTATTTTTCCCCAGATAGCTGAAAGCTATAGGGGTTCTAACTTCGATAAAGAGGGGAAAGTGATTTGCGAGATTGATGGGCTGGTGCTAGGGGGCGTGCAGTTTGGAGTGCTGGTGTGGGTGCTGGTTGGGTGCTGTTTGAGCTGCTGATGGCAGCGCGGGCGCATCTTTTCAAGATTGACGGTAGGGTCCTAGGGGGCATGCAGCTTGTGCAGGTGCTGTTTTGGGGCGTGACGGTGCGCGCGTATTTTTGCATCTTGACGGTAGGAGGCAGGGGGGAATGCAGTTTGGGGTGCTGGCGCTGATGGTGCTGTGGGACGCAGTTTGTGGGGAGCTGTTTGAGGTGCTGGTGACGGTGCAGGCGCATTTTTGCGATACTGACGCTCGGGTGCTATCGGGCATGCAGGTGACGGTGCAGGTTAGGTGGTGGTTTGGGATTCCGTTTGGCGTGCTGGTTGATTTTCGCAAGATTGACGGCTGGGTGTCTTGGGGGGTGCTGGTTGGGGTGCTCTTCAGGGTGATGGTGCGGGCACATTTTGCTTGATTGACGGCCGGGTTTTGCTTGGGGCGTTCTTCGGGGGGGGGGGGGGGTGTTTTTTGGAGGTGCTGGTGTGCAAGCAC